TTAATTTTTCTTTCTTCAATTAGCTTTTGTTTAGTTTGTTTGAATCCATAATAGATTAGCTCAAAGTAATCATGTCACTTACAGTGTTCATCTGACATAACAAGACGAATTATTTTAATAAAAAGCAACCTCTCCACAATCCTTTCTTCAGAGGCATGAAAAACAAGGAATACGTTTTGCCTCTGCCTCATCTTGATGGCCTCTGAGCTGGGAAGCAGTGACGCCACCCTCACAGAGGACAAAGATCATGCTATGGGTGCTAGGCAAGACCTACATGAGGTTTAACTGGAGTATTTCTTAAGAAAGAAATGTAGAGACAACTTCTGCGTGGGAAGCCAGGTAACAGGTGAAGAGGGAAAGAGCGTGTAATATTGGATGTTAGAAAATTTCTAATTTTCACTTATGTGAGGGATAAAACTGAGGAGGAAAAAATTATTGAGCAAGCTAGGAAAGAAGATGGAGCAAGTTAGTCAATGTTGAGATTATAATATATTTACAATACATCTCCCTTCCTTTTTCTCCCTCCAAACCTCCTCGTATACCTCCTTTTTGCTTACATTCTTTTTGTGGAGATAACTGTTATTGCGTGCACATATAATTATATATGGACATGTATACACACATATTCCTAAATATTACCTGCTCCATCTGTTTAATCTTATTTGTACGTATGTTTTCAGGGTTGGCCTTTTTGGTATTGGATAATGAATTGGTGATAATCCATTGCTGTTTCCTGGGAAGAATTATTTCTTCTGCTCCCAGCATTCCTCACTTACCTGTAGTTCTTTGTATATGACTGTGACCTTGTAGGCTTTTTCCTGTTCACATCGACGTGTTCTCCATTGTCATCACTGTTCAGCTCACATTTGGGCAGCCATGTTAGTGAGCTGCATGTATGTAGCTTCTGGTATTACTAGGAGACACACTCTCACAGCAAACTTCCTGATCCTCTAGCTCATACAATCCTTCTATGCCTGTTCCCATTATGTTCCCTGAGCCTTTGATGTAGGATGGTTTGTAGATGTATCCATTCGGACTGGGCTTCACAGTTCTGCCTTTGATTGGCTGTGGTTTTCTGTACTGCTCTCCATCTGTTGCAAAGAGAAGTTTCCTTAATGAGGGCAAGGGCTACATTGTTGTTAGGAATTATGCTGTTTAATAAACTAGCGGTTGTAGAGTCTCCTTCAGTAGCATCGACTTCATGAACACAGAGTAGTTAGCTAGGTTTCTAATACCAGGCATGATTTCTCCCTTGTTGAATAGGTCTTACGCCCCATGGTAGTGCTGTTGGCCACTGCCAAGCTCTGCATTCCACTCCTGCACCTTAGGGCTATCATGCCATGCTAGTTGATACGATTCATAGGCGCCATAGCTAAGTAGGACTATTGACTGACCCCTCCTTTGGAAGCTTACGTTGGTCCCTTCTGGTCTATGAAACTAGTCTTCAGAGAGGAGGAATTCAGGTCAGTTCTAGCTCATGGACCTCTTGGCCTTATTTCTGCAGGGTATGGTGTCTTCAGCATTGGGGACTTACCTTCCTCCTCTCAGGGAGAACAGCCGAGGGCTACAGCCACAGGCTGTATGTTTTGGGAGTCTCTTGGGCAGCCCTGCCCCAACAATTCAAAAGATGGCTTCTCATGTCTGGTATTAGGATTTTTGTTAAGTGGTCTTTGGCTCTTGGAGGAAGCATTGTCAGCCCGGATGAGATAAGCTCATTAAAACTATATAAGTTCATCTATGCAAATAATTACATGTATTGTGCTTTTCTATTTTAGGTAAATAGTTAATAGCATGGTTCCTTATGGCTTTTTCAGATGTCCTTATTATTCCTTTAACTACCCACCTCCTTCTTCTGTATTTCTCTCCCTCCTCCCTCCCGAAAAAGCTCCCCCTTTCTTATTTCCTCCATCAAATCGTGTGGACCTTGCTAATCCCCTCTCTATTGCTTGGCAACAGCCATATCTGGAAATGCTCCCATTTTACTCTACTAGTTTCTGCAATTACTCCAGGCTGTGTACTCATGTCTGAAGATTTAGAGCTAGGAACCCCCAATGAGAGAGAATATGCAAGTTTGTCTTTCGGGGTTGCTTCACTCAATAATCTTTTTCAGTTCCATTAATTAACCTATAAAGTTCATGATTTAATTTTTAGTTATAGCTGAATAGTATTTCATAGTATATCTGTACCACAGTTTTATTACCTATACGTCAGTGGTAGGACCTTTCGGTTGTTTCTACTTCCTAACTATCGTGAACGGAGAAGCAGTGAGCATGACTGAGCGCATACTCTTGCTCACACATACTATAGCTAGGATCCATATATGACAGAAAACCTGTCTGTCATTCTTGCTCTAGAATATATCACTTAACACAGTGATTTCCGGGTCTGTGCTCTTAGAGATCGCATGATTTCCTTTCTCTGTACAGCAGAGTAAAATTTCATTGTGACTTCATACCAGCCATTGAAAGAATAAAGCCCTAGCATAATGCTGTCAACACTATTTTACAAG